TAGTGGACGTAAGAAACACAGATGTAGAGAGGGAAGAATGTTGAGATCAAGGTGGATATGTGTAAAATTAAGGAAATCAAGTAATCAAATTAATTTTCTCAAGAAATGTATATGAACAGAAAAAAAACTCGAATGAATATATAATAAGCAAAATATTCTGGCTGTTCTAATACTCTCAGCTTTTAAGTCACTTTATAAAATACACTTAGAACATTGACATTTTTGTAACTAATGAAATGATTGCTAATTCAGCTTTTCTTAAAGGTTAGTAAACATTTTCAAAAGATAGTCATCTTTTTGGTGGAAGACTGACTTCGAAACCCTCTTGTTTCCCCAGGATTTAACTAACAGTGTGGAGGACATCTGTATGGAAAGGACAACAAATAACTTGTACTTTTTATATTGTTTTAAAATAAGTATATGTCCCATAAGGGAGTTTTCAGAATGATCACACCATAGGTATGTACATGCTGTATGTGAAATTAAATCAGGGTTCTAAAATGCTGCCAAGGGGCAGGTCAAAATACTTGGAAAACTCTTAAGATTTAAAGTATATGACCCTTACTTCCCAATGACTATTTTACAAACACACACACATTTCTCTCCATATACAAAAAGTGATATTAAATCAAGCTAAGTATTTTATGTGATTCTGTAAGTGTGTTGCATTTTCTAATAAATGAATTGACAAGTAAAATCAAAGAAGATATTTGTTACTTCACAGAGCTACCAAAAAACAACTGGTCAGTTGTCAAGCAATATAAATATAAAAGTTTTAAACTAGAGATTTATTATTTGGTGACACACATTAAGAAGAATAAAGTACATTATGTGGAAATAATATATGGAAAAAATTATAATTAAAAGTGATAGCTAACTGCCATAAATGTACTAGTACTTTCTTCCAGAAGATATATACAAATTAGAAAATGAAAACAAACTATTCATGATACACTGAATATTGAATGCATTGTTCAAAAAAAAATCTCAACACTTATAACTAAAACAAAACAAGGTCTTAAAAAAACCAGTAATGTTTGCATTATTACAGAAATACTTGCAAATACTCTTCTCACGTTTACATTGTATTCTTTCCAAGTAAAACAACAACTTCTATGCACATAACAACTGAATTATAATTGCATGAAAACTGAGAAATTGCCTGATCACAAGTTTTAACTTTAATATCGACACTCTAATTTAAATGCAGGATTTTCCTATGCTATAATTAAGGAGCCAAAGAACCAATATCATCAGTGGTATATAACTCTGCTTCCAGAATATGCTACACCGTTACCATACCTTTCAACTAATATTTGGTTTAATAGAATATATTTAACAACTCAGGACTTATGGAGTAGTATTTCTGAAAATCTTAGATACTTTTAGATGAAGGAGATGGATAAACATCAAATCAGATGAGATAGCTTGAAAGAAATAATCATATTTTTAGCAAACAAAATGTGTCATTTTATATGACATGCTAATACCCAATAAAATGAAAATAAGACTTTAAAAAGACAGGAGGTAAAAGAATCAGAATCAGCAACTATGCAGAAGGAAAATAGGATTACATTTATTGGCTGCTATATCAACTTAACTTCTCATAAAATCCTCCTGATCTATTAAATAACTTCAGAACTGAAGTATGCTCTCCTATGGGAGTTGTAAAAAAAAATTAGATACAATTACAACTCAATACAACAAAAAGTCAACCTATTTACCCTTAAGATTTTTCATTTTATAGCTTTATCATTTAAACCAGGCCAGATTTTCCCCTAATGTATCAAGGGGCCACTTGGCATAATTACGGATTTTTCTAGTGTGTTTTCTATAGTGAAAAATAGTAGATATGAATAAATTCTGGAAAACTGTGGTAACTACACCTCCCCAAAGTGAATACAACAAACATCTGTTGCAAGAACTGCTTGGCTTTCAGACAGTATATAAAGGGTGTTCTTTTTCCCAGTATTTGCTTTTTTTGTTAAAAACCCTTATTTGTTTTAAAAAAGGAATACATGTTTCCACTATCAAAACACAAAGTCTTAAGAGTCTGGTAAGTTTGACTCAGTGAAAAAAAATGGTATATTACAGAAAGGGAAACTATGCCATGTGCAAGATTCCACTTGCTTCTGAAAGGACACCAAAATAACTGGGCAGGTTGCCCTCTGCCTGTGGGTTCCAGAGTAATTTCAACCAGTGTTGTCCTTTCTTAACATAGTGCTCCAATAAACCCAGCAACACTCATTGTAGGAAGGGGACTAAATACTTAACTCTCTGAGGATGTTTATCCTCTGTTGGAATCCCAGTGATAATTCTGCTTTCTCCTATAGGCTTCACTGGCTCTACTCACTTCTAAGGTCAACAGCATCCTCATTCCTCAATTAAGCAAATGAATTCCAAGTTTTATTCCAGCAATGGATAAATAATGGCACATTTTCTGCATAAAGCATAAAATGTAGTAATTTTCAATGGACAGAGGGGAAGGGTCAATAAGCCTTTATGACTCATGTTTTCATAACTGCACCCCAAGAGTGGTTCAGTACTTTTTGATAAACTGAATGCACCTTCATTGATTTTTAAAGAACAGAATCTTGCCTAAAATTCACAGATATTTTGCAGAGCAAAGCATGATCTTTTTAGCATTTGGAAATTTCAAAAAGTATACACAAATGAACAGGTGCAAATATAATGTTTACAAGCAGTAGGGCTGAGAACAGATAATACCTTTATGAAAGAAAGAATAATGAAAAGATGACCACATCTTTTTACACATTACAACTAACATATGACTTTGTTCTCAAAACGATTTTCTACCCAAGCCTGCTCCCAACCAGTTTGGGGTTATTTTTATACAACACTGAAGATTCAGTTTCACAACTCCATTTTTATTGCTAACAATAAGATACTGATTTAATTCTTACAACATGACAGAGTATTTCAATAGGGCCTTATGACACTAGACAGAGAAATTTCTCTGCCATCAAGAAATGAGAAAGATGGGAAGCTTCTTTTCCTTTTGGACCAAGGTAAATGTAAACACTTCATTATGCTTCCATAAAACTCAAGATTTGCAACAGCATTTATTCCAACAAAGTAATCCAAAGTGGCTAACATATGGTATATGTTTATAGAACTATAGGAAAAATGCTTTACCATCTTCAAAATCATACTATACAAATTCCATTCTAAGAAAATATTTTAAGGAAAAGTGAAATTGATACAGATGAAAAGGAAAATCAAGTTTCATCCTCTACTACATACAAGTTTAGAATAATCTTCAAACCATACCTATGATCTTCTACATTTATGGTCAACTGTCTTAATAAAAGATTAATCACAAAAAGGGTGGGGGGATATTTTCTCTTTTCCTAAGAGTTACTCAGCAAACACACACAAGGAATACTCAGAAACAATTAATTGCTAAAAGCTTCCTTTACTCAATGTAACAATGTTTAATTCCTACAGATGGTTTCTGAGTCAAATATTCAGTTTAAATAACACATCTGTCTCAATAATATCATGTCTAAGGAAAACAGATAGTTTCTATAATTTAAAAGCAAAAATAAAAAGAAAATCTCTTGTCAGATATTCATCTAACTTGAATAAAATCACCTGAAATGATAATGGCACTTTCATCATGTCTCAGATTTCACACTAATATGCATTACATACTTCATATATACAAATGTGTTGTATTCTCTCTTCTATAATACACACATATGCAACATTTCTCATAACAACTATCAGAATAACAATATATTTTCAGCAAAGCACCTTATAATCATAAACTAAGGTAATATCTATAGCAATCCACCTTTGCATGCCATCATATTCATTCTATAGATAGAAAGCCTGATGGTATGAAGTTAGAAGATTTACCTAAGGTCTTGAGGTAGGCACCACAGAAAGGCACCACACTCACAATGCTGGAGATCTGTACAACAATCCCTCTCTGATTCTATTTTTATTGTTATTTTTACTTTAATTTTTATTATCTGTATTATATTTTCCAAAATCTATACACAAAAAAGGTAGTAGTTAATTCTGAATGAAACAAATAAAGATAGATGAGAAAACTCTAATAATTGAAATAAGTCTTCCCTTCCTTACTATTTTTCTAAAACAAATGAAAATTGCCTATATATGGTTCCTCTTCTACTCAGTACTTTAAGCTACAAAGTAAATTACCTAAATTAATGTGAGTTACCTAAAATAATATGCATGATTCCCATTTTATAGGTGAGAAGCCAGACACCAGAACAAAGCTATTAGCCATGGGTCATACTCTAAATGTGAGAAAGGTCTGGAGTTAAAACATGTTATGTTCTTGGCTCATTTTTCTGACTAAAGGTAATGACATTCCTATTAACCATCTTACTCCAAAGCCACTGGAGGAAACACACAATTTTCTGAAGGAGAGGGGGGAATATATCCTGAAAGTTACAGGTGTAAAGAATACATCAAGAGTTTTGATTTCATTATACTTGGCTTATAATTCAGTATAATTTAAGTTTTAGAAACTATTTATATAACTTATTACTTTAGTACCATGAATCGAATCAGAAGCTTGGCTGAGTGAGATACTAATTACTTGCCCAGAAGGGTCAGGTGTTTTTATAGGAGCTAAGAAATAAAATTAGATGAGGAAAATAAAGAGTGGTTCGTATTAAAAGGTATTTGGTGGCATGGAACTTAAAAGATAAGACATCAATTTTTAGCCTGGCTGATTACAGAGTATGACCCACTGCTCATAGTCAACAGCAGGCATTACAGAGGAGCAAGAATAAGACATTTAAGGGTAAGTGATGCATGGTAACATGCACCATGTATTTCTTGAAAAACTGTGGGAGAGGAGAAGGAATTACGTTGGCAGGTTAAATAACATTAAGTAACCAGAACATCTCTAGTTGTTCGCATCTTTCCAGATTCCAATGTGACAGCAATAGTCCAACAAACAAAAAGGTAGACAAAGAGTTGCCAATGCTAATGAGACCTACCTCTTGTACTGAGCGAGCCGCTGGCTTGTCTTGATGATTGGCCAATATTAAAAAGGGTAAAGTGCATAATTGTGGGTGCTGAAGAGCTGAGTGCAGTTCATTTCTAGCAGTTTCTAAATCATCCTCTGAAGAGGCACTGTCTAATACAAATATTACCCCTTGAGATCCTTGGTAATAACGGCTCCAGTATTTCCGGATATTATCAGCCCCTGTCATAAAAAGAGAAAAAAAAATCCCTTTTTAAGAATAACTTTCAGAAACTGAAAAATGTCCCCATTAGTATTTCCTACTGGGAACCAAAATTAAGTATGAAAGAAAGGCTGTGGTATGGAATAGAACAGGGATCTAGAAAAGACAGAGGTTGTGAACAAAGGCCTAGAGCCAACAGGCAGATGTGGCTAACAAAATGCAAATGTTTAAGTCATTCTTTGTACTTCCATATCAAAAGACATGAGAAAGAACCAGGATAATACTTCTTAGACTTCAAGTCAAAACAATGTTCTCTGACTTTGCTTCATATTCCTAAGTGAACTACACTCCCTACAAGTTGGGTATGGACATAACTCAGAGAATAGATGTTCCCTAAGGTTTTCTTCCACACCATTTACATCTATACCATCATTATTTGGTGATATTTTCTAATAGCACTGTACTACAAGTTTGAGGTAGCCCCCAAACTTCAGATGTTGGAAACCTAATCCTCAAATTGTATATTTGTGGTATTTAAAGGTGGGTCTTTCAGAGATAACTCAGATTAGATGAGGTCATGAGATTGGGACCTCATGATAGAGATAAATGGATTTATTAGAAGAGGAAGAGAGACTCAAGCCTCATGTTCCTTTCACCAAGTGATGCTTCTACCACATCATGATACAGTAAGACCCTCACCAGATGTGGACCTTCAACCTTGGACTTACCAGCCTCCAGAACTATAATAAATAAATTTAATTTCTTTATAAATTACCCAGCCTGTAGCATTCGGTTAATAGCAACATAAAGTAGACTAAGACAAACTCCTGGCTGGGCTGCTGGCTGGCTTGTTTAATTCCACCCAGAGAATTATTAGTACAATAACTTCACGTGTCAAAGTGCTGAAATTTGTGAACAACTAAAATCTTGGCCTTTGGTATATTTATATTAATCTGTTAGGGTTCATAACCCATGGGAAAGAATAAAAGGCAATGAGCACACTCATGGGCTTGATGAGATTGAGGTAGGTGTTCATAAAAACAGACACCATGTCCTCATCAGGCAGGACATGTCTTACAACACATCTTATGTTTAACATTCAGTGCAATGTGTAACTCAAAAGTCTAATGCAGTAATGAAGAGGAAATAAGGAAACAAAACGAATTAAGCTTTCTGAGTTTGAAGATCAGAAGGAATTTTAGAGATTATTCAGTCCCATTCTCTGAGGAAACTGAAGCTGAGAGGTTGAGAGGTGAGATGAGTGATCCTAACATGTGTCTAAGTAGATCACAAAGTCAGGATTTGCAACTGAGTTGATCAACTTGCCCAGAAAGGGTATGGGCATTCCTGATACATCATGATGATTGCTTTTTATTATACTGATTGGTGAAGGGAATGAACAATTTGTGTGGTGTGTGTAGGGGGGAATATATAATGAAAATCAGATAAAGAAATTTCACCAATTTATGCATGTAAGTGCTAATCAGTTATTATTTTAGTCATTCATTGAACATTTAGCTACTGTCTCCAACATACTGTGCTAAATAAACATCAGGGATCTAAACAGTGAAGATTAAGTTGGTGTGCACTGGCTGGCAAAAGCCACTTCTATGTATTACTTCCCAACTCTGTGTTCAGTGATTTTATATTGGTAACTTGAAATTGGCCAGGGGTAGAAGTTTTTTTTTTTTTTACCATGGAAATCATCAAATGCTATCTATCAGGTCTCTTCCCTCCTTGGAGAGCTAATACACTATTGGTTAACACCAAGAAGCCCATATTTTCTGGGAGAAACAGAAATTATATATATAATTTATATATATTTACATATATTTTAAACAAAATAGAAGATAAAGAAGAAAGAAATGAAGGGAAGATTCATGCATTAGAAAGAAGAAAAAGGACAGAAAGAAGAAAAAGGGAAGGAGGAAGAAAAAAGGAGAAAAGAACAGAGAGAGAGTGAGAACAAAGAAATTAGTAGCTCTCAGTTACAAGACATGCATTATGTACAGGGCAGCTTGTCAAGGACTTCACAAATGAGAAAACCCAGATTTTAATATAGTTCCTAAAGGACTATCCTAGAGGTACTCATTACGTGTTCTGGGAGAAAGACATGAAATAGCTCACCCAAAGTGGAGAAAATAATTTAAAAGATTAATTCCAGTAACAAAATGGCTATTGGTTATTAAAGACTTCCTATATTCCAGGCACAGTGCTGTTTTACAAAGAACAGCTCATATATTTCTTACAACAACTGGGAGTAGGTATAACTGACTAAGGTTTAACCTTTTAAAGCAAGTTTTAGAACCTAAAATATGAGATATTCACCATTACACTATATTGAAATAACCAGGTATGTGAGAATCGGGGGCATTCATTTGATGTTGAGTAACTTTAAATGTGCAAAGACAAGGGATATGAACAGGTTGATTTTTATCAGGAAGGGTCCAGAGAGGAAACAAAACAAAAATAAAGAGAGGAAATTTAAACCAGAGATTAATTAATACAGAAAACTGGTTGCATAAGTGATAGTGAAACTAGGGCAAGAACAAGGGTATTGAGGTGAGCGATATCTTAGTTCAGGTTACCCAGAAGCAGGGCCTGAGCTGATGTTTTTTATGCACTTGATTATAGATGGGGTATTGTCAGGAGAAACCAGGAGTGAAAGAGTAAGCCAGAATCGGCAAAGGATTTTGGCAAAGATGTGGTTTCAGAAATCTACTTTTAGCTTGATTCCATGAGGAAGTCTGGAGCTTGGACTGAACCACAGAAGTTGTCCAGTCCAGAGGTTAGGAAGCTAGGCTATTATACTCCTGTATAGTCATTGGCTACAAGCCACTGCTGAAGAACAGGAGGGCGCTGGAGCCTGATCCCATAATCTCCCAGACATATTTGGTTGAAGCAATTACTGTCAGCCAAGAGCAGTTCTCTGGAGAAGGGTACAGGTGTGAGTCATTAGCCACTAATACCCACAGCAGCTGGGAGATGGATTCACTGGCCCAGTAAAGGAGATCTGGGTAGGATACCCACAGCATCTGCTGCAAGCTACATCCAGACATTATCCATATGCTAGAGAGCCATCCATAAGCTTGAGGGACAAAAGTGGAAGCCGTGATACCCAGAGATAATTATTTAAACCAACAACAATATTGTGTGCATATGTATCCACACATAAATTTGCCATAAAATTTACTGATATCGTTTTATAAAAGATGTGTAACACAATTTTCATATAAGAATATATGCAACATGTTTTATTATAAATTCCATAGAGCCAATTAATGCTTATAGAATGCTCTTGTTATCCATAGACAACCAACGGTTGCAACTGACCAACTAATGTAGTATGGAAAATGACTGGTCGTTGTTCTAAGTGGGTTTTCTGTTTTTCTTTTTTTCTTTCTTTTTAAACCTATATTAATTCTCTTATCCATGATAATCTGGCGAATTAGGTGCTCACACTCAGTTCATCAACAGAGAGATCAAGAGACAAGACAGAATTTGCCCAAGGTTACACATCTAAAAATATGTATGTCCCAATGCGATTGAAATAGAGAAATCACTGACCAGAGGTGATGAGCTAAATAAAGAATGTACTATGATATAAGCTACGGGAGTGGAGAGACCTGTTGGAATAAAAGATACTTAAATGCCTGTATATATTAATATTCAGTATGGGAATATGTCTAAGAAAAAATTTCCCCACTTATTAAGTACTTATTCCATCCAAATTACAGAGGTACTACCTAAAGAGAGATTTAGCATTTTTCCCTTTAGCTCAAACTATCAAATCCTGTAACGTTATATTAATCACAAGGAGACCTGTAAATCTATCAGAGGGAACAAATACAGCCACACAGTAGATGACATCCAGGGAGTCAAGTATAAAGAGAATACTTGTTATATGTTTGAGGATTTGTCCATTAGAAAACATCTTGGACACAATGGAAATTCAACACATGACATCATCTCTTCCAGTAAGAAACTGCATTTTTCATTTGCCACACTGAGGAATAAAATGCCCCAAAATAGTGAGATAAAATTCCAGCAAACCCAATGGGAAAAAAAAAAAAAACTCCAAGAGAAATACAACTACTTAAAAAAAGTTCCCTATAACATAATAAACAAATATAAATATTAATAGTGAAAATACCCTTTTATTTAATTTCTTGCAACAAAATTTTCTTTCCGATCTTAGGATTTCAAACTTTCTTCACAAGCACTGAATTTGGAATTCTAAATCCCAATTCATCCTGCTGCCAGTGGCTTTAGTCAGGGGCAGCTTAATCCAGACTGGGACCAAGGAAACCAGCTATGAAGGGAAGGAGGGCATACAGTTGTTCTGTCCCAGTTAGCAGACCAGAGTTTAGTAACCAGATTAAAATGAGAAATGACTGTGTCATTAACCCAGCTGCCAGGTGCTGGGACTAATGGGGAATGCTATGGACACCTGTCTGATGTGATATCCCAACCTTCCTAACCCACAAACCAAATCCAAAAGAAGTAACACAAACACAGGATATGCCACTCTTATCTAATGACTAAAATTGCATGTTCTGTGTCACTTAAATTAAAATGGTTACATAAAATGCTTAGATACCAAATTCAAACCTGGTCTACATTTTGTACTCTCAGATTAAAAACAAGGGGGAAGTCTGGATAGTAGAGGAGCTAGATAGGGCATCCGGGTGTTTCTAAATGCCCATGTTATGCAAGGTCCAATTCTGCCTTACTAAAAGTTCTAAGGAATTCTTGGGAATCTAAGAACTCATTCTGAGTCAACCAGAAGGTACTCTCTTTGTCTTAGTTTTTTTTTTTTTTTTTTTTTTTTTGTACTCAAGGTACTATCTAGTAAGAGTAGAAGGAAAAGACAGGAGCATAACATGCCCTGATTGTGTATGTTCACTTCTGTGGTACACCATGGTTGGTAACAATGGTCACTCATTTTTCACTAATTCGTTCATCTAACAGACATGTACTAAATACCTGGCACCATCCTATGTACTGGGGATGCAGCAGT